GGTGGTAGTAAGAGTGAACCGGGTGCACCTACATAGGACGATGGTTAGCCATAAGCTCCCAAAGAGGAGTGACTCAATAGTAAATGTGAAAATCTCTTCTATTTGTGCTGAACTTTTGGACGATTGACGACCATTCCAATCGCTACGAACAACCTCAAGAGAGTGGGGAGTGAAGCTGCTCATCAGAGAGAATGACTGTCCTTATTCCTTTTGACAAACAATGTGATAGGTATACTGATGAAGCGGCTGTAGTTTGGTTCCATCCGTTTGAAGAAGGCCAAATCACCGTCTTTCCAACAGCCTCTGACACTCTGCTTTTGTATTGGTAAGAGAACTGGATTTCATGGACTATGGATCGAGAGTTATCAATGCTGTACGAGGAGGTTGATGTTGCACTGTCTCGCTTATCCGCTTGGCACAAAGAACCACCAAGTCGCGAAGATTCGCGCCCACGGTGGCCCTCCTCCCCGGGTATGTGTGAATACTTGCAACTTATCGGGTAGAATGGCATTGCTAGATCGTACGTGTGACGTGATCGAAGGGCAAGGCCTCTGACATCTTCGTTGCGCGCGCCATTCGCAGGGAAAATAATCTCCAGAGATTCGCACCCGAGAGAGAATGGTCTGTTGGTACCTTGCGAAAAGTGTACACAGGCGCCGTACGGACTGTTCTGACCTATGCGAGGGACAGAGTCCGGCCCTGACCTTCTTACCCATTCTCCAGTCCACCAGCCCGAGTATGCAACATTGGATTACTCACCAACTGATGCCAAATATGCGATTTTAGAGTCCAGCGACCCATAAATAGCTCCATGGTCTGGTATATTCCAGGCATTTATTCACCATATGATGCCAAGTACACCGCCAACCCAATAGTATCTTTTGATGTGGAATTATGGATCTTGGAGAGAATGGTCCCGTTAGCCAGTGTTAGAGTTACGAGGTTCTCAGCGCCTTACCGAGAAGGCACCATCCAAATGGTTTTCTACAGGGCCGAGTTCGCCAGAGACAATTTCTGGAAGAGGGCCAAGATGGCGGTTCTATGTGAGAGACAATTTATCGCGGGGCCAGTCTGTGTGAATGGGCGGAGTGGAGAGAAGGGTCGGGCTGAGAATGGTCGGACTGTAGCGGCCCTTGAGAAAAGATGTTGTTGTCGCTGCAACCAAGGCTGGGAAGTATATTCAGTAAATATTTTTTCCACCTGCGAGTTAGGGACAACCATTGCGGTGCACATATACACTCGCGGCGATTCGTAGCGGGCAACACATATGGAGGAAGGATATAAAGCCAAGGATATTGGCGAACACTCCAATCTCCAGATCCTCGTGCTCTCAACACTCTTCAGGTCTTCACCTTTCTCTTTTTTCTTCTTTTTCTTCGTCCGGCCTGGTGCCCCTTTGTGTAAGCCAACCCTCCAAAGCCATAACGTATGACATACTCACTTTAACGCAGTCTTTCTACAACTTTTTCCTTCTTTTTTTCTTCTGTTCATTTTCAACCCGTCGAACAATCCATCACCATGTTGTTCCCCACTACTCT